GGAGAAGAAGGTGGGGGGGGGGGGGGGGGAGAAAAAAAAAGCCAATAAAAAATAAAATATTAACATCCCAACCTCGTTTGCCGCTCGGTGCCTGCATCGCGCTCCCCTCCCCGGCCGCAGCAGCTGTGCCCGTGTTACAGAGCGAGGTGCAACGCCCCAGCTGGGAGGACGTGCCAAAAGCAGGATATGGGAAAAGACTGTTTTCAAACACAGATGGATTAAACCTTTATTCCTTTTTAAATTACATTTTAATGCGTTGGCTACTCCGGAGATGTCGGCAGGACATTCTGGGCTTGAATAGGTTTGGGGTGAGTGTCCCCAGGGCATCTTGCTAACCCAGCCCCGAGTGACTCAGGTGGCCCTGGCAGATCTCTGTCCTCCCCAGTCCCTCCTTCCCCGTCCCCCTGTTACTTGCAAACCCCTTTTGGCGGCTATCGCAGCACCCAGTCCTTGTGTCCTGCGTCCCCTCTAACTCCTCCAGGTCAGCTCCGTCCCGATTTCGGTGCTGTGGGGGTCACCAAAGCAGCTCCCCTTCCAGGCGGTCGGATGCCTCCCGGGATTTGTCCCATGGGTACCTGCTCAGTTCCCGTCTCCCATGGGAGAAGCACGCAGGTTTAATGTCTCTGCATGTCCTGCAAGGCTGGGCTTGCTCCTCTCCCAAAACACGCAACCACCTCTTGGAGCATTTTGTGTCCTTAACAGAGCTTCTCGAGTTGAAGAATCGCTGTGAATTAACCGTGAATTAAAAGGCTTGGTTACTTTGACAGCATAAATCAAGGCTAAACGTGTGCAATGCATACCTTGAGCCCCCTCCGTCCTGCTGGGGTAGCACTCTGCAACCCCAGACTCAAGGCGGTGAGACCTTGGTGCAAGATGCCACCCTGCCAATAAAAAGAAACCCGTAGATGTGTCTTGCACGAGACGCACAGACTGATGTGTTGAGCGGTATGGGTGGAAAGGGGTCTCAGCACATCTGCAGCCTGACGCTTCTTGGGTTTTTTGGTGGGCAGTTTGACTGAGGAGAGCTGGTAGAGGGGCTGTTTGGGTACCTCGCTCGGCATTTATGTATGGGCGGGAGAGCTGGCAGAGGGACTTTGCCCTGACCCGCAAACCTCGGCGTGTCTCTGGGAGGACAACGGGTCTGAGTGCTCTGTAACCCACCAGAAAGTGGAGATCTACGGATAAAGCAGAAGGACCTTTTATTTTGTTTTGTTTTTCCAGCTGGAAAGAGAAGGGAACGTTCCCACAGTTATGTATGGGCGGGAGAGCTGGCAGAGGGACTTTGCCCTGACCCGCAAACCTCGGCGTGTCTCTGGGAGGACAACGGGTCTGAGTGCTCTGTCAGAAAGCAGAAAGTGGAGATCTACGGATAAAGCAGAAGGACCTTTTTTTGTTTTTCCAGCTGGAAAGAGAAGGGAACGTTCCCACAGAGGAAACACCGTATTTACTTTTTTTTTTTTTGCTTTTTTTATTGTGGTTGAGCTGAACTGTACCAAGTCACTTTAGCTCTCTCGAACGCAGGATTTTCTCACTTTCCGGTAAACTGCAGTTACCATGGAGAGGGCTGAGACAAGCCAAATGCAAAACATTGGAAACTACACCCAAACTCACCGCAGCCATATCAAACAGTTAATTAGAAAGACCGTCCATGTGTTTCCCATTCCCTGGAATGGTTTGAATCAATTGCCCTGTGATTTATCACCTGTTTTCTGTGCGAACGGTTCAGCTCTGCTCTCGTGCATGTGTTGGAAAGGGGATTTGGGCTGTACAGTGAAAGAGGGAAGGGAGATATTAAGGACTTTTAAAAAAAACCCCCAACCCAATCATCAAATAACCAATTCTGTCCCTTCCCCCAGTATAAGTCTCCCACTGGAACGATACGCTTTGGATCTTGATGGGATTTCTAGCCCTTGGCAAGAGGGAAAAAGGAGAGACAGTTTTTGCCTTGCTTTGATTTTGGAGAGTGGAAGATCATAGCGTGCCTGGCCATTCCTGGGGCTGTGTTATACTGTGCCCAGATGGAAATTCAGACCAGCGTGTTTCCCCGGGGCTGTTTCCTTTCCCACTGCACATGGAAGTTGGGGGGGTGGGTGGGAAGTGGGGAGGGGGTGGCTGGAGGGGAGAGGAGAGAGGGAGAAGAAGAAGAAATCCAAACTTCCCACAAGATCTCCTCTCGATGTGTGAGGCTGTCCACCCGCTAAGCGGTAACACCTCGTTGCACAGCGCAACGTTGGTGGCAGAGGTGCTTCGGTGACACGGCTTGTGGCTGGGAAGGCGTTTGGGGGTGGGCCTGCGCTGCCAGGCGGGGAGCAGAGTCCGTCTGTCTGTCCAGCGGCATGGCTCTTCTCCAGCCCGCCCACGGCGAGCTGACGGCTGCGAATCCTCCTTGCCGGGTTCCATCTCCTTTTGACGAATGCATCGGGGTGTCCCATCGCCACCAGGGAAAGCGGGCGGCCGGCCAAGTGGGCAACAGCAACAGGTTGATGGGAAAGCACCCGGAAAGTTTCATTCCTGAGCCTGCCGCATCCTCCCCGCGCGAGCTGGGGCTGCAGCCCTGCCGTACGCCCGCTCCCCCTTTGCAAGCCAGGGGGGAAAACACACACCTCGGTCTCGCCTAGCGTGCAAGTGCTTCGAAGCTGGGTTGGTTCCTCCCGTGGGGACAGCCCTAGCATCCAAAAGCAGCAAAAGATGTCTTGGAGGAGATCCCTCTGTGTTTCAGCTCTTTCCGAAGCAAGCTGACCTGGTTTTATCTCTGCCATCTCCTGTCGCATCCGAAGCTGCCAAGCGGCGCCTTTGCAGTGGATTCGTGAGCCGGGATCACCCGAGATGAATGCGGCGTTATCAGAGTCAGCCATTCCCCCGCACCCGTGCTCCGGTGCGGTCTTCTGCCCGGGATGTGTAGGGCTGATTGGAAATCCTGCACATTTATCTATCCCATCCCCCAAAGCAGCTGTTGGCCTGAAAGGTGGCTGCTCCTCTCGCGATCCACATTCCACCTTTCCTGCCAAGACCGGGGGAGAGAGGGAATAAAAGTTGCTTTCCTATCATTAGCAGATGATTGAAAAACCTTGCAGCTCCCCCAGCCAAGCGTGAGAGATACCAGCCCCTTTAAGAGAGACCCGAAAGGGGTTGACTGGGGGGCTTGGGGGTGAGGGTCACACCTAAGAGGGCTGGAAATGGAGATTTGTGTAGGATCCCACAGTGGAGAAGACGACAGAGAAAATCTCTATTCCAGGGGAAACTGAGGCAGCGACAAGCGACAAGAAGTGGAGCAGAAGTGTGCCAAAATTGTCATTTATCCACACTCCTCTGTTCCCACGGTGAACATATTAACGCATGGACTGGTTTGGCTTGAACTAAATTTACCTCTTCATCGCTCCGATTGCAGCCAGTCTCACTTCTGCCCTGATCCTGGCCACGTAAGCGCAGCAAAATCCCTGTCTGGCACACGGGGGTGTTTGCCCCATCTCTTCCGATCGTGCAGAGGTCTGGAGAAGGTCTCCTTCTTCAAAGGAAAAGGTCAGGTCTGTGCCTCAGTTTCCCCTCTCACTGCAAAGGAAATAGCCGGTGGCAGGGGATGCACGGTGCTGCCTCGGGAAGGTGTGAAGCAGTGACCCCCCCCGTGAAATGGCTGAAAGACCTGGAGGGACAGTTACTTTTAGCTGGCAAGTTGCTGTTTGCACTGCCTGGGACCCTGCAATCTGCAAGGAAGGAAACTGGCCTCAAGCGACAGGAAAAAAAAGAGAAATTCCCCAGGAATTTCCAAAGGTTTTCCCACCCTGGGAAAAAATGGAAATGGCGTATGTGTGCCCTGCGATCGCTGCAACCCCGGGCACTACCCTAACCCACGAGAGCCCAGCCCCAGGGTGGCAGCCCTGGACCAGGGTTGAGATCCTGCAGGCAGCAGGGATGCTTTTTGGTACAACCCTGCCGTATTTCACAAGCGCTTGTTGAGCTGGAGGTACTTCTTGTTGCCCCCTCCCAGCTTTGCTGGAGCTGCTCCCTGGGAAGCTTCTGCGCTGGATTTCGTCTTCGCCTTGCAGCAGTGACCCTGCGAAACCGCAAAGAAACCACCGACGCCTCATTGCGGGGCTGCGGGATGCTCTCCCCAGCCTCAGGCTGTCAGCAAGAGCGAGCTCCGCTCGCCGCTTCGGGCCCTTACGATGAAAATGGACCTGGCTTTTACGGCTGCCGCTGGGCAGAGCTGCTCGTGGGAAGTTTCCCAGCAAAGCTGAGCAAAGAGCAGGCAGTTTTGTCGGGGGAAAGGAGGAGAGGAGCTCTGCTGAAGGCCCTGAAACCTCCCAGCAGGAGGGAAGAAAACGGCAGAGAGATTTGCAAGGCAAGAGGGAATGAGGCTTGCAAAGAGGAATGACCTTTGCAAAGTGCCCCGAGGAGAAGCAGCCTCGAAAGGAGGATCACAGCTACAGATGTGTGAGTGATGGATCCAAGATAATTCAGCTGGGATCCAGCTCAAATGGGCGGCTTTTCATCAGCGCGTACGCTCCCTTCCACGACAGCTCCTCTTCAAACGCTCTGCTCTGACAGATTGAAAACCATTCCTCCTATCTTTGTTTTCCAAATCCAGAGTCGAGTCACTGTTCGGTCGTTTTCCTTTCGAAAACGTGGCCGTGAAGTGTTTCGGCATTTAGGGCACACTTCCCCCAGCCTGGGGCGGGGCGGGGGGGGATGAAGTTTGCGTCAGGTTGCATTAAATTCCTTCGGTCTTACCCCTTTCGGTGAGCAGGTCTCTTAGGACCCTGCCAGCGCTGCACGAATCGAAGAGAAATCAGAGCTGCCAAAACTAGAAGCCTTACCTACATCCCAGGGGCTCGCAGGGGTTGGCAACAGGGTGTTTGTCACCCCTGCAACCTGCAAGAAGTAATGAACATGGAGGAGCAGAGCCAGAATTTGCTTTGCAGGCGTACATATGCCTCATACAAGGGCGCAACCCCTCCCCAATCTGCTTAAAAACATTAAGAGCTAAACCTGCTTGATCTGCAGGTCCCAGCGTGCCGGTGTGACACACGCAGGCTCGCCGCAGGTGGGAGTGATGGTAACGGGTGTTGCTGGCCAAAATGTGTGCGCTGTGAGATCCTGGACTCGAGCCTCGTGATCTCAGACTGTGAAATAGCTTCAGTTAAGGATAATCATCCAGGTAAGCGCAGGGCACGCTACATTCCTGCTCTGGGCGAATGGCAGGAGGCAAGTTTCTGTGTTCGGAGTCTAGGTTACACTGCCTTTTCATTTATCAGGGAGACGCTGTGGTTTTTGCATTTTATTATATTTAATGGGGTATTATTTTTTTCTCGCTGGCTGTTTGTTTGAGAAATTTCTCCCAGGGGAGCTTCTTTTGATCGCTCGGTTGCCAGACAGAATGACATCAGACAGACGCTCAGAGGAATGATAAAAAGGCAGAGCCTTATTTCTTAATAACAGTCTCTGGCAAAACACAGAGCAAAGTTAAACACGCTGGAGAGCACCAGGCCCTGGTGCCGCTTGGGGTACAGGGCAGGGGAGAGAGGAGGAGGCCGCGCTCCCCCAGCTTGTGCACCAACACCCTCACATTAGCCAGGGATACTGCCAAGGTGTCATACTCTTCTTCAAACCAAAGGAGAAGGAACAGCAGAGGATGCTAAGTAAGTAGGTGCTAATGTCTCGCCCTGTCCTAATTATCCCTTACCATTTCACAGGGAAGCTGTGCAAGCCTCCTCTACTCTGGTTTAGCCTAGATTTTCTGTTTAATCCTTGCACCCCATTGTAGCGCTGTTACTGATTTCTCCAGCAGCCGCAGGGACTGACCCCCCCAAAACGGTACCGGTTTAAGAAGATCTGAGCCCTTAGTTGCAAAGGGGAAATCCTGTGCCTTGAGCATCTCGCAGCCTCATCCCTTACCCCCGCCCTGGTTGACAGAGGTTTTAGCCGAGGACGTCCTCCCCAAAGGAGCACTTGACAGCTTGCTTGTGTTGCAGGAGCTCACTCCCGTTACTAGTGGGTGGTTTTCTGCTTTGCCCTCCTCCTCAAAAGCCACTTGCCCCCACTGTGAGCATTGCACCTCTCCTCCCCAACCCACAACTATCTTGATGTTCCCCTCCCTAGCGAAGCAAAGGTTTGCTTGTGGTTCCAGATCGGTTCATGCCAGAGTACGAGTACATATTGAAGTTTAACACGTGAGGCATTGCTTACCTGTTTATTTTGAACAATTTTTTTCTCTGGAGCCAAGCCCCCAGGATGTGCCTTCAAGAGGAGGGGGTCTCTGCGCTGCTTGGGGTGTTTCTCAGCTCCCGAGTCCGGGATTTCACAGCATTTCTGCCGATTCCTGCCGCTCTCTTCCTCATACCAGCATCTAAAAGCAAGAGTTTAATGAGACGGTCAGATACTCCCTTTTGGAGATGGGCAGAAGACCAGGAAATAAGTGATCAAAAGTTCACGGTTGCCTCAATACCCGATTACGGACACTGCAGAAATCGGATGGTTCCCAGTCAGAGCCCCTACAAAATTTGAAACTGAACTGAAAGCCATCTAAAGCTGTAGTTACATCTGGCTTTCAGTTTCTTCTCACTGCCTTCTCTTTTTAAGTTGCTCATAAATTCTTTGGATAAAATTCCTTTTGGGCTAAAGTTTTCTACGTCTGGACATTCCTCAGAAGTGGATTAAAAAAAAAAAAAGTAGAAAAACTGAGAAAAGGGGTCTGGCAATTCACATATTTTGTTCTACAAAAATCCTGTCCTCCCTCTGCTTCCCCCAAACCCCTCTGCCCTCCGCTCTGGTCAGCCAGACCGCGCCAGTGTGCAAACTGGAATAACATGGCCAGGGAGCCGCGCGAGGCCCATGGATGCGGAGGGACCGGGTGGAAGAGGACTCGGATCTCCTTCGTCCCAGCCCCTTCCTCCTGGCGCTCGTGCAGAGAAACAGGCCAGATTATTTCCTTTACAGCTCCTCTCCCACGGTTATTCCCTGCTCCGCGCCACCACGGGATGCAAAGCAGAGCCAGGCAGATACGGGCTTTGCAGGCTGGGTAAGGAGGGGACAGAGTCTGTAACAATTTTGGGATAGCATCAGCTAGGAAAAAAACCTCATCCTGAACTCCCATAATCATATATAGTCCCCAGTGCACATGTATTCCCCAACTAATACCCTGCTTCTTGACAACATGCAAAAGGTGGCGTGTGAAAATGCTAAAACCCACTGTCCTCTACACATTCAGGGTGAATTTGTGCTCTCACCAGTGTAAGAGGTGGCTGAGAAGGCTTCAGGTAAACGTGAGTCTTGTGCGAGCATCATCTGACAGCCTGGGTATACCAGAGGGCTCTCCCTCCTCTCTAGTTCCTTGCCATGCTCTTATAAGCAGGGTTTGTAGGAGACTCCTGAAGAGCAACCAGTAAATAAAGGCTGTAAAAGAATATTTTCCCTCTCCTCTCCTCTTTTTTCTTTTTTTTAACGTACTGAATTATTTAGGAGCAGTAAGAAAAGCAATGCAGCCAGCAGGAAGATCAAAGCGGGGATCGCCTGGGGTGGGAGCGCTCCCTTCGCCCAGGAGCCGAGAACTTGCCCGGGGAACAGAGAGCTGTTTGTCAGCCCAACACAGGACATCATTTTCCATTCATGCTCCGTGACCATTGTCTGGACCACAATGGTCATCCCCGGCCTCGGGCAAGACGGTGGTACCACGCTCCGGTGGGTGTCCTGCCCCGGGGAGGATGGCCGTGCAGACAAGAGATGCAGTGTGGTCGCTCCTGGGTCGGGGAGGAAGGGGATGCACGCGTTAATTCAGACATACAGAGGGGGGTTTGTAGGAGTCTTGTATTTTCTGCTTTTATTTGTGTCGATCCTTCCCTCCAGGCTGAATTCCCACTTTTCTGGTCGAGTCTGCAGAACATGGACACCCCAGTTTAACATGTAACACACAAATACAGAATTTGAATAAGTAAATCCACCAAAACCTAGTCCTTATAGATTCATTGGATCAAACTTCTCTTCCAGTTTCTTCAAGGGTGCCCGTAGGATTCAAGACCAGTGATAGGAATCGGGATTTCTCCAACTGAGGGCAAGTTTGGGAAGGGCCTTTGCGTAATTTAGATGGTTTTGCCTCACTTAAATGACTTTGCCTCATCTGCAGATGCCTTAAAGAAACTTAAAAATTGTGGTTTTGTCCCCAAGCTTTGGAGACAGGGCAGGAAATGCTTTACCCCCTCGAGGATGCTCTCAGAGTCGGGATCCTGTATCCACACCCAGAACTGTCCTGGCAGTTAAATTAAGGTTCTTAATACAGCACTTATCTTCCTTGTCCCCTTCCAAGCCCTTCAACTTGAATGCAAACACAGCTTTACTGCCGCCCACGAACACACGGAGATGGCTTGACCCCATGGTGTTAATAAATCCGGATCTGAGCAAAAAAAAAAACCTAAGGGGGAAAAAAGACCCCAACCAGACCCCAGTCCCAATGCCCGGTATCGCATCCCCCGCTGCTAAAACCCATCTGGCTCCAGCTGAGATGGACTCTGGGCTGCAGGCGACTGGCCTCATGCAAAACAGATGATCTTGAGAGGTCTTGGAAGAGCCGGCGGGGCTGGAGGCGTCCATATGCTCTGGGGTGGGGAAGGGCAGCGAGAGGGTGGGACAGCAAAGGCTTCTTCCAGGAAAGGGCCAGCTGAGATTATTACATGCAGCTCGTCGTAATTTCCAAAGAAAAGGGGCCTAGGAAGGCTGGGGTGAGAGATGGGCTTTCCTGGAAAGAGGGGGGGTCTGGATGGCTGTAATCTGGATGACATGTGAGCATCCCCCCTTTGCCTGGGTGAAGCCCCTCTGCTTTCTCCCCCCAGGCTCCCGATCTCCCAAAAAGGCGGAAAGTTTCCACCCCTGCCTGCTCCGGTGCCTGTGGGCTTACGCTGTCCTCCAACTTGACACGCCGTGGGAGCGGAGTCGCTGGGCAAACTACCATCAGCTGGAAGAAACAGACACCCAGGTGCCGGCAGGGAGAGCCCCCCGAAAGCAGACCTCGCACCCCCTGCCCCGAAAGAGCCGGGTGAGCAAAAACATGCTCCCCAAAAGTGCAATTCCTGGATCCGGCATTGCCCAGAAACGTTGCCCAAGAGTTAGGCTATTAATAAAATGCAGCAATAATGCTTAACATGTGGACTGTGCCTTTTGCTGTCCAGCTGCCTTTCCCGCATTAACCACGTAATTAACTGATAAGGGAAGGAAGCGGGGAACAGCTTTTCCAGTCGGAGCCACAATACGAGATGAAGGACACAGGATACGTTTACCCGAACTTAAATTTGGCCCTTTTTCCTCTTGCCAAAACAAGCAAACAAACAAATATCTGAAAGCTCAGCGTGGCCTTTTGTCGGACTATAAGCGATGGGGGCAATGCTAATTTTACAACCCATCTGCAAGATCGCTTTGCTGGCAGCTGGGAGCCTGCGGGGACGGAGACGGGAGCGTCGGCTCTGACGGAGAACCCACTCGCTGATCCACGTACCCCGGCTGCCCTTGCCCCAGGGACAACGCGGGTGACGGGACACAGAACAACGGCCTGGGAGGAAGCCGAAAGGTTTTGATAGCGGCTTACGTCGGGAATCAGCAACGCTCTTTCCCCTGGAGGTTACCGTGGCATAGATTAAAGGAGGACTAAAGTTCAAGGAAAACGCGAGCCAGCATTGCACAACGCTGGCAAAAGGTCCCCTTTCGTGGAGAACGCTTTGAAAGCTTTGAGGATGTGGGGAAGAAGAAATGCGACCCCTTTTTTAGCTTTTTCTCCTACCGCCGTGCCACCCAGATGACTTCCAGAAGGTCCAGGTGGATCTGCTGACCTTTCCGACGGCAGCCCTGAGATCTGTCAGTGCGAAGGGACGAGGCGAGGCGATGGAGCGGTTTGCTTTCTCTGACACAACCTGCCCCGGGGACACGCAGCTCAGGAGAAACCAAGGCAACGGGCCGTTCCCCACACCTCCTCTGTCAGACCGCTTGGGATGCTGGTATAGTTTTGGTTTCCTTGGCTTTAGATACAAAAAAGGGGCTTGTTTTCAGAGCAATATACCACTCAACCAGCAATAGGGGTCCAGATCTCTTTGCAAATGGCTCTACGTATTTACCTGCATCTTTGAGACCTAACCACCCACGAGTGCTTGGCCCTGCATCCCCGTCCTGGACTCGTTCCACCTAGCTTTCCATCAGAGACCATGATATCTGTTTTCTGAACCAAAGCCATCTCAAACCCATCCCGCTGTTGCTAAAGGGGGATTTGGGTTTCAGCTGCCAGAGAGATTACTGCCTACGCGTCCTCTGAGCTGCTGGTGCCTCACAGACCCTCGTAGCGGGATGCGAAGCCCACGGTCCCCCTCTGTGAACCTCCCAGTTTGTGCTGGGTCACTTGATCCTGCGAAAGGGTTCGCAGCCCCGAGAGGGCAGCGTGTCGTAGGTGGTTTAGGGGAAGAAGGACCCGGAGCCCAGGCTAACCGTCCGGTGTCCGTTGCAAGGAAACCTCGCAGGAAGGAGACTTTCTCATGGGGGTTTTACAGTTTCTTGCATGCAGCCTTCCATCCTGCCCCGCCGTCGGACCTGTGCAAGCCCCCAAGACCGTCCCACACCGACACACGCGCAGGCACGAGGAGGTGCCACGGATGAGGCCCGAGGTCTCAGCTCTTCCCTTTTCCCTGCTGCCGGAATCTGCAAACTCAGCAGCAGCAGCTGCACAGTGCGAGAGCTGGGAGCTGCTGGCTCCGCATGAGATGTGGAACAGCCCCAGCCTGGCACCACGGCTGGATGGAGCCGGGGATGCTCACGCCTGGACACTGCATGTGATCCAAGCTGCAATGCCAAAGCGCCCTATTACATTTCCCTGCGGCAGCGTGGTGACCCGGACCCGAAGCATGTCCAGCGATTGCAGCGGGGCTCTCCACCCCATGAAAAAATCATCCCTGGCAGGGTAGGCAAGGAAGAAGGTAACGTGCCCAGCACAGCTGGAATTAAGAAATTCCCTCCTCTCCCCGCAGAGACATGAGCCTCTAACGTGCAAGACCACTTGCTTGCGCCTGCAGTTTCGCCATGGCCAGATGAAATCTAGGAGATAGGCTAGGAAAGCGGAGGCCCGGCTTTGATACGCAACCACCGCCCGTCTCTTCTCTGTTATTCTTTCTCCCTTGTGCCAAGCTGCTATAATAGATGCTTCCCCTCTGCCCCCACGATTTGGGGGTCCCTGGGCAGATGAATTCATCACTCCGATAACTATCCGCAGCCACAAAGCGGGGAAGGCCAAGGTAAACACGCATCCATCCATCAGCAGACGCACGCTGACGCTCTCCCCCTCTTCGAGGGATCCACCCTGGGAGTTCAGTCGCGAAGTGATGGCTGTAGCGAGGCGAGGTGGGAGGGAAGCCAGCGCCCACCAAGCTGGATCAGCCCTGCAAATCCCACTGAGCCACAGAGGATGCTGCCAGCGCCCCTGCCAACATGATTCACTGGGGAGGAGCACAGCCCACCTCTGAGGTGGTCCCAGCCTTTGCCAGCCAAACTGATCTTCTCCTGCAAAAGTTGCCGAGGGGGAGGTGTTGGTGCTGCGTGTGCTGGTAGCTTTGGCAAGAAGGCAGCAAAGACAGGGCAGATGCCATCAGCTCGTAGCCATTGACCTTTCCGAACTGTAGAAAAACAAAAATGGCATCCTTGTGGTTTAATATATCCCCCAAAAGGCAAAAAAGGAAAGGCAAAGCGAGACAAATTCCCATGAAGACAGCCAAGCCCTGAGTGCGCCTTCACCGTGTCTTCCCATCTTGCCTTCCCACGGAGGCACGGATGGACCCTGGCTGATCTCCAGACCCCAGCTGGGCGAGCAGCAAAAAATTTCCAACGCAACAAACTGGCCGATCCGTGTGACACAGGGAGCTGCCTCCTGAGCCGAGGGGCACCGAGCAAGACGCTCCCTCCCTCAGCCACCCCCATCGCAAAGGAGCAGGAATTTGTGGCCTGCTGGGCCCAGCGAGATAAAAGATGTGCTGTCACCATCCGGCACCGAGGGGCTTCTCTAGGGGATGCTGGGACTGAAGAGATGGGTTTTTTTTGGCTAAGCTGGGAGGATGAGTCAGGCTCAGGGTTCACAGCCAGCCCAAAGGCAGATCGGGGTGGAAGAGGCTGGGCTGCCCGGTACCAGGCATTAGCAGAGGGAGAGCGGGGTTAACCACAACCCCACGCACACATCTCATGGCTCCTGACCAGCCCTCCCCACTGCTCCTCCACCTCCCACCTCATACCAGTAAAGCCAGCTGGCTGCAAACCCCCCAGCGAGCTGCTCTACCTAGAGATGGGTTGGTCCCTCTTCCGATAAGGGTGACCAATGCTGTGTGCTACATTGGTCTTTGCAGGGTTAATC